AAATGCTCACCAACTTAATAAACTTGTACTGTATGCAGCCAATGGTACCCAAATTGCAACCTACGGCACCAAACTATTGACACTTGATTTAAACTTGCGCCGGACTTTCAACTGGCCTTTTATTATTGCGGATGTAACTCAAGCAATTATTGGTGTCGACTTCTTGACACATTTCCACCTTCTAGTGGATGTCAAGAATAATTGCTTAATTGATGCTACAACTCAGCTGACATCACAGGGCCAAGCTTCTCACATATCGAACGTACCTACCAACATAAGTGTTGTATCGGGCAGCACACGGTTTCATCGGTTATTAGCAGAATTCCCTGACATTTTAAACCCATCCAAATCAGGGCAGCATACTCATCAGCCAGAAGTGTATCATCACATTGAAACACATGGCCCACCTGTATTTTCCAAGCCTCGTCGTCTTTCTCCAGAGATGCTAAAAGCTGCTCGCAAAGAATTTGAATTCATGCTAGCACAGGGAACCATTCGCCCATCTAAAAGTCCATGGGCCAGTCCACTTCACATGGTTAAAAAGTCTAATGGTGACTGGCGGCCTTGTGGAGATTATCGTCGACTTAATGCCGTCGTCACCAGTCTGACAGATCCCGTCCCACATATGCCATCACAGATATCCAGTCCCACATATCCAAGACTGTACCCATCTTTTGGAACAAACATATTTTCTACCCTCGATCTTGCCAGAGCATATCATCAGATCCCAGTGCATGCTGAAGATGTGCCCAAGACCGCAGTGACTACACCATTTGGTCTCTTTGAGTACTTATATATGCCATTTGGCCTTCGCAATGCTGGCCAAACATTTCAGCGTTTCATACACCAAGTACTGTCTGGCCTCGATTTCTGCATCCCATATTTTGATGATATCCTGGTTGCATCTACAGATGCGGAAGAACATTTTCAAACATCTGCGTCAGATTTTCACTCGCCTTAAAGATCATGGATTAAAACTAAATCCATCCAAATGTGTACTTGGTCAACCCTCAGTTTCCTTTCTTGGATGTCTTATCACCCAGAATGGAGTCAAACCTTTACCGGAAAGAGTCAAAGCAATTAACGACCTACCTCAGCCCAAAACCATCTCTGAACTGAAGCGTTTTCTAGCAATGTTAAATTTCTACCGACGCTTTCTGCCAAATGCCGCAAAAAACACAAGCCTGCCTACATGAGTTTCTGAAGAATAAAAAAAAAAAAAAAAAAAAAAAAAAAAAAAACGATCAACGAGCTGTCCCTTGGACTGAATCTGCATCTGCAGCATTCGTGCAATGCAAACACGATCTGGCAAATGCAGCCACACTTTCTTATCACTCACCTAGTGATCAGCTCTCTATAATGGTAGATGCATCTGACACGGCCATAGGAGCAGTGCTTCAAGCCCATACCACTAAAGGACTTTCCCCAATGGCATTCTTCTCCAGAAAACTTACTACTGCAGAAAGGAAATACAGCACATATGACAGGGACCTACTTGCTGTGTACTGTGCTGTTAAATACTTCCGGCACAACTTGGAAGGACACGACTTCATCATTTTCACCGATCATCGACCATTAACCTTCGCTTTTAGAAAAAACTCTGACTCATGTTCTCCTCGTCAGCTTCGACATCTGGATTTCATCGCCCAGTTTAGTACAGATATGTCTCTGGTACTGATAACTGTGTCGCTGATGCCTTGTCTCGGGTAAACAATATCAACCTCACTACCCCAGATTTCTCTGAAATTGCAAAAGCTCAATTGCATGATGAGGAACTCAAGAACCTAATCTCAAATCCACAAACCTCCCTTCAGTTACAACCGCTGCACATTGATCCAACGCTTAAAATTTACTGTGACATAGAGAACAATAGAATACGTCCCTATATTCCTGTCAATTTTAGACGTGAAGTGTTTAATGCCTTGCACAATTTGGCACATCCTGGAATCCGTGCCACCAAAAAGCTGATCGCAGACAGATTTGTCTGGCCAGCAATGAATCAAGACATCACAGAATGGACTCGTTCATGTATTAGATGTCAACGGTGTAAAGTATCCCGTCACACTCACAGCCCCATTCAACAATTTAACCTTCCAGCAAGACGCTTTGATCATGTGCACTTAGACTGACTTGGTTGGCCCATTGCCTCCTTCAAATGGTTACACTTACCTCCTCACTTGTATTGATCGGTACACAAGATGGCCTGAAGCCATTCCTATTGAAAATATATCCGCTGAAACTGTAGCTCGAGCATTCATCTCCCAGTGGCTTTCAAGATTTGGCATGCCTACCACCATCACTACTGACCAAGGCCGACAATTTCAATGTCACTTGTTCGCATCCCTCACCTCTCTTCTTGGCATTCGCCATATTCGCACAACACCATACCATCCATCTGGAAATGGGATGGTGGAACGCTTTCACACCGATCTCTCAAACAAGGTCTGAAGTGCCACAGTAGCACACACTGGACAGAAGCCTTACCCCTAGTCTTGCTTGGTCTTCGCACAGCATTCAAAGAAGACAGACATTGGTAGCACTTGTGCTGAAATGTTATATGGTGCAACCCTCCGTCTGCCAGGTGAATTCTTTCACCCAGAATCTACTCCAGTTATCGACCCTCCAACATTCCTTCCTTCAACGTTTACGTGAGACCATGAGCAATATCTCGCCAACCCCAGCATCTTCGCATAACCAGCCAAGCTATTTTGTACATCCTGCGCTTGAGACATCTTCGCACGTATTCGTGCGCAACGATGCAATTAAGCCAACTTTAACACCTTCATATGATGGTCCATTCAAAGTTGTCAAACGAAACACCGAAACATTTCACCATCATCTGCAATGGCAAACAATCAGTGATTGGAATCGATCGTCTCAAACCAGCATTTCTAATGCAAGATCCAACAACTTCCTCATCAACATCACTCCCGGAAGAAAGCTTACATCCCGTTAAAGAGCAACCTAAAACTACCAGATCTGGAAGAAAGGTTAAATTTAACCCAAAGTACTTATAACGTACCGATGGTACTTGGGGGGGGGAGTACTGTGGCGTTCCGACAGATACTTCAACTTCTATTCATGAGATGGCGCCACGTGTAAAATCCAGTTCTTAATCGGAGCAGCAAAGCGACGTCATTACTCACTCAGACTTCTCGTGAGACAACTGTACGCGACTGTAGCATGAACTGTGTTCCGAGCTCTGTGTTGATCTCTGCAATGTAATTTAAATTGTAATTTAGTACTTAATATATTCTTTTGTTATAGGATATTGTCTACTCTTATTTTCTTTAATTATATCATGCATTAAGCACACACGACCACCAAATATACAATGTAAACGACCTAGTTACAATACAAAGAACACAGTATGGAGGTGGTCTAAAGTTAAGGCCAAAGTTCTTCGTTCCATATCGTGTAACAGCGAGGAAAGGCAAAGATCGCTACCAAGTGGAAAAAGTGGGACACCATGAAGGTCCTGGATGTACCACTACAGCAGCTGATCTCATGAAGCCGTGGACTTCTACTATATAGGACTATGTGTGGTTATTCCGCACTTCTTTCTTTTTTTTTCCTTTTATTTTATTTATTTATTTTCAGGTGCTGTCTTGATGTTCCAGTGTTGCTGATCCGTGTTTTCGAGGACGAAAAAATGTCAGGACGGACGAGCTGTAGTATCTGTAAAGGCAACACAACCACCAGAGGGCCTCACCGATGCGCCAGCAGCGAGGTGAAGAGGAGTATGACAGAGACTTCTTCTGCTATCCAACGCGAAGGTGGTGAGATGTCTGTCTCCACGTGAAGGTATAGAATAAGGAAACTGTAGTTTTCCACGCGAAGGTGGTAAATTGACTGTATAATACATCAGCAAGTGCGAGTAGGCACTAATCGGTTATGTGATAAGACTGGCAAAAGCTATACAGAATCGTTGTTTGGATCAAACGGCACTTGTGATTAATCTAATCTGTACCTTCTTCTGTTTGTCTTTATTAAATGTTCTGTGGTGTAGAAAACACGTTGGAATTGTTATTTAGCATCTTCAACTCCCCCACTACATATACATATGTACGTAAAACGCTACGAACACACGAAAACATCTCTTCTGAATCCATTTTAAATCAGTTTTATAATTCGTTTAGGGAAAAGAGTTATCGTTTAATTGCATTCAATAGCGGTCAAAATGGATATTTTCGTTGAAATACGATACCCGGAATTTTTCGTGATTACAATACTTTCTTTACTTCGTACAAGAAAGTTAAAATGGAATGTTACAAATATATAGCCATGTAATAAATATATTACAAATGAAAAAATTGCAAATTTTGCATCTTTTGGCAACAGCATGTATACCGAAGGCTAATTCACAACAGCTGTCATCTTGTAAATAAAAATAAAATAAAATTAAAGTGTAAATTAAAGCATTTATTTTTCTTTCAATAAGAAATAATTCTCATACTTTTTTACATACTTCTAATTTTAAAAGAAAGAAATAGCAAAGAAGAGTTATTAAATGCTAAATTATTAACTCAAAATAATCCATTATTAACTCAAAACAATCCATTCTGACGAGACTATTTTAGCATGAGCGTTTTCTTTTTACAAAGGATAAAAGAATTTTTATGCATAAATCTCTTAAATTCAATTTTTATTATTAAGTAAATAGATTAGTTACTATTCTGTTCGTAGCAGCAGCAATTATAAGGAAATTCAAAAAATTTTGTACTTTCTGAGAATTTGTAATTTAAGCATTTATTTGTTCATTAGTCTGCATAAAAGAAAGAGAAACTTTTCTTCTTTATATAACAGAGCTGTTTTAAAAGCTTTAAACTGCAGTCTGCGCCAGACTTAATAAAATATACAATTACTAAAAAATTAGATCAATAGTTTTACCATTTATGTCAAATATTTACATTAAATTCTCAATTTTAATCGGCACTGCTCTGAAAGTTATGCAGATCTTATCAGCAGAAAAAAGGAACAATACTTAAAAAAAAACTTACCTGTAGAGCTTGTGTTCCTAATACGATCCAGCTGCTAAAAGCTATAATCTGTTGTAGTTTTAGATGCTTCAGGTCTGTTATTATAATCATTCCTGCCATTTGATTAACTGGATTTTCGATGGCTGAAAAAATAGATATTGCTGCTCCAAAGACAGCTTCATCTGCAGAAATTTGATCTGGATCCCAGGCTTCTGTTTAAAAAAATATTAAATTAAAAATTTGGAAATCATTATATTAAGTTAATATGATGCCATTTCTGTTTCATTGTACCTGTATATCACTCTAATTACAGTTAAGATTTGATAAAAAATCTAGATATTTGAACTGAATGTTAATTTTAGTTTTGTTTTAAATAATCAAACAAGACGTTCGAATAAAATAATACATACATAAATATATATATATATATATATATATATATATATATATATATATATATTTGCACAGAAGAGGAAAGTTAAAAATAACTAATGCTGTAAAGCAAATTTGATACTACAGTTACAGAGTAAAAAAGTTATACCAAGTTATAAACAATAATATAATACTAAAGCAGTAAAAGTTATCGCGAAGAAGCCTACAGTAAAAACTACAAAACGATAATAAACTTCCCCAAAATAAAAAAGGGATTAGGAAAGACTAAAAAATTTTGAAATAAAACATTTTCATATAATGTAGGCAAACAATCAAAAACATTTCAAAGAAATTATATACAAAGAATTGCAATAAATGGTAAATTAGCCCAACTCGAGGTTTCATACAAACTTATACAGGGAAAATCGTGAGAAACTCGAATTTAGCTAATACCATAAGCACGTTTTTCAAACGAAAACAATTGAGACAGAAATCGGAAGTTCATTAATAGAATTATTAAATTAAATTAATATAGCTAAGTCTACTTTTTGCTAATGAAAGTGAAAAACCTTTTTATGTGTACGTCTTCCCCAAACAGATTTTTGGCATTTTTCACATATATTATTTGTTTTGTTGTTGTGGCAAAGTCGTACTTGACAAATTTTGTGTTTGTTAAAAATGGTTGCATTTGATGATGTTGCAGTTAATCTTTGTGAGTCTTCATGTTCTGATGACTTTTTCTGTCTTGCAGCTCTGTATTCGGTGGAAAGCTGTTCTGCTAATTGAAACAAGAACTCTTTTCGTTGTATTTGTATTCCTGTCATTTCTTTGTAAAGAATCCAAGCATTTATAGCAGCCAAACCTAAAATATTGAAAAATATGTGGAGGAGCCATCTACGAGAATTAGCTTTTACTGTATTTTTTCTGGCCATTTGATCCAAATTTTGTAGATTCCAGTAACATTTTTTTATTACTTTTATCAATTTTCACAAATTTATACTTACAACTCAGAACAGCTACTCTTTTATTTGGTTTGCTTTTATATATTGTAAGAACACAATTCTCTGATTTATATAGCAGAGTGAAAAAACGAGGCATGTTATCCTTCGTTTGTTTGGCTGATTTGGTTAGTTCTCTTTTGTTTCCTCTAATAGTACCAACTAGAGTTGTTTTTATTTGTCGCGAGTGACATGCTAGTGGAAAAGTTATCGGTCGTGATATTTCTTCCATAGCTTGTATATGGCTCGACAAGTTTCAAAACAACGTGTTCACTGAGATTTGAATAACAAGTACTACTTTAGCTTATTGAGAAACTGCAACGTATCAAGTATACGCCAAAATCGACAATTTATCATGTACGTGTACGTTATCATGTGACGGTAATCGAAAAAAAAAAAAAAAAAAAAAAATGAAAACTGTTATTTCAATACAGACCCGAACTGGTCATATAAGAAATTTACTCAGTTCAATAATAAGAGTCATTTGATTATTTAAAATTTCCCAAGCGGTCAAAATGACTGCTTTTGGGCAATGTAAGTATAACACATATATAGTATATACCGGAAATGAAGGAAGGGAGGGGGCTAACTACAATTATTAATAAAAGCATTTATATGTTGTATAAAAAGTCACACAATTCTAAGAAATTGTGTCATTGTATACATAATTGTTTTTCTAATTGAAATTAAAAAGCATTCAAAATGACTTATTTGGGCAATCTAGTGTTAAATATGTTTATAAGTTAATTCATTTCAGTAGAATTCTAACTAACTTTATCAAAGGAGATAATATACTAAATAATCCATTAGTAAATAAGTTATTATTTTATTAACTTTGCAGCTTTTGCTAAAGTATTACTCAGTTTATTGCGATTAATTAAAATTTTTACTTTATATGATATATTATTAGAAAGCTTTTTTACTTCCTTGTACGAAGTAAAAAGGAAGTATTGTAATCACGAAAAGTTTCAGGCAGCATATTTCAACGAAAATATCCATTTTTACCGCTATAGAATGAAATGTAACGATGTTTTTGCATGATATCTGTACGTAAGGACAGAATAAAAGACTTTTTTCCTCAAAAAAAATTATAAAATTGCTTTAAAATGAATTCTGAAGAGAATTTTTCGTGACGTCTGTACAAACGTATGTACGTGACGTACGTACGTATCTCGCATAACTCAAGAACAAGTAGCCTCAGAACGTTGAAATTTTGTATATAGGACTGCTATAACATGTAGATATGCACCTCGTATTTTGGTTGCAATTGGCCGCACCAAACGTATATAAATATATTTATATATACGAGTATATCCACTCTGTTACCCGGCTCAGTGATCTCAGTTTCTTTACTCTTATATGTTTGTAAATTGTACATTTTTTTGTTTTAAAAATGATTAAATTATGTTGGTCTTATCTTCCGGTTAAGGTGTTTATGCTTTTAGTAAATCTGTATGCGATATTTTTAGAATTATCAACAATTTTAAAGTTGTTTAAGTGCCGCTAAGCCTAATAATGTTTTTGATAGCGGCCATTGCTTGTTTACATTTGAAACAGCAGAATAGTGGGTTTGTTGCCAATCTAGAGAAACTTAGCTTCGCAACAACAAAGATAACGCCTTCATTTATTATTGCGAATTAAATCATGCTTAATCCTTTCTCGAATTTTTTCGAGGAAATAAGTGTTTAAGATTTACTTCGTAATTTTTAATACAGATATTTTGAGTTTTTATGTATTTTTGCCTTGTCGCGAAGTGAGAACTGAATTAATTGAATGAGAATACTCAATCGTCTGTGAAAAACTGTTTCTTTTTTGTTTTGTTTGCTTAATTTCTTTTATACATCGTTCTAGTTTTATTATAGTATTTGAATAGAACATGTGGCAACGATTAGATAATTCTTTAAATGATATACATTTTGTGCATTATGAGTTATAATATGAACGAAATATAATACTGTTAAGTGAACCTAGCGCCAGAGTGTCGCTAGGGTAAACAAAGAGAGTGAATTTTAAAGAATGCATTTATTCTATTGTGCTTTATGCGCTGTCCGCGAAGTAGATTTAATTCAACCCAATAAGTTTAAATGAAATGGAAGAAAAAATGCGTACAATTTAATATTCCGTAAAAGGAAGCCATGTGGTGTACACATCAGATTTTTATATATCATCTCCAAGGAACATAAATTTAATTAATGCTATGAATTGTTGGAATAAATTTGAGAAATTTGAGTTATTGGAATAAATTTGATAAAATATCTGAGTTTTTTTTTTATTTAATTTGGAGAACAAAATATTGTTCGCTTTTCCGAATTTCAATAAATTGGCGCGTGAAATATAAACGTATTTTATTTAAGGCACTAGATTTCTTTTAAATCGCTGAACTTGTTAGTAAAAAATTCATTAAGTTTCCATTAAACATGAAAAACAATTAAAAAAAAAATTCAACCTTCGAAGTGCAAATACTAGGCTGCATAATTACGTGTATTTTGTAGCGCAATCTTTTCCCTGCGGTACGCAAACCTATAGGTTCTTTAACATTTAATAATATGGAGACAGAACTGCTTCCTTTGTGCAAAATCATTTATTAACAAGTTTAAAAGGAATTATCACATTCTTTCTTGCGTGTTCTCAGGCTTTTTATGGTTGACACGTCCAGCCAACGTTGAAAAATCTGTGATTCCAAATCCGGAGAAAGCAAAATTGATTTTCTCGCGTCTCCCGGCTTTAAAAAACTAAAAGAAATCTACAATTAACTTATTAAACTAAACAAGATTTATATCCTTTACAAGCTATATCGTTATACTTTTATAGGCAGAAATTTACTGTATCAAAATTATGCTTTTGTAAGTACTTTTGAGGCTCTTAAGAAATCTGAGAAACGAAACATGTTAGAATCAAAAATTGATTTTGTAAGTAATACTTCGGCAGTTCCTTCTCTTCTACACGAATTAGCGAGCAGTTAAACTGCCGAGGAAAGAAATGTTTATAATAAGTGTTGAGTATCTTCGTTAGAACATAACAGGTTTTGCTAGCGGCTCTCAAAATATATTATACCTCTTTTAAAAAACAAAATTCAGAAAATTAGACACAAAAATAAGAAGCAAATAGCCACTTTTTCTCATTACAAAAGGAAATGAAAGTTCTTATTATTCATTATTGTATTGATTTTTACTATAGTAAAATTGGACGCTCAGGAAGATCAAACAGCTCGAATAACGATAAATAAATTATCATTAAAAAGTTATAAATTTCTGAAATCGGCATTTAAATTAAAATACTGTAAATATCGTAATATGAAATTCACCCCTTCCCATCCCCCAAAAAACTGAAATTAAAATTACTGAAAATTATTAAGTTGAAAGTGACTGTGAGGGAAGAATTAGTAGTTTAAGCTAGGATTAATTTTAAGTTTTCGAGCAAGGTCCGGTGTTAGATGAAAAAATTTTTGTTTGGGTTCATTGCCGCTATGCTACCGTGATTTCACGCTGTAATTAACTTCAAGTATCAATTTAAAAGTGGGGAAACAGATTAATTTACATATCTCACTGGTGTACGACGTTGCAGGAATGAAAGAATGAGGGGAAAGAGTATCTGAAAGGAAAGACATGGTGAGGCGCACTCAAGGAGGGATCGATAAATGCTCGCCATCGAAGAGTAAGGATGTTATGGGGCCCGCTGGAAGGGGGGCATTGCCAGTATGCCTTGTCAGTTTCTGTGTTTAGGTTGAGAATAAGCCTTTGAATGTTTTTGTTATTTACTTTTTAAAATTATGCCTCCTAACCGCCTTATTTAGTAATTTACCTCGCCAAACGGGCATAAAACAGAGGCTTCAGTTAGTCTTATTTAGTCTTTTTAAATGCTTCCCATGTTATTTGTTCTGCGATGCATTTTTAAAGTGCAATCTTCTTTTTCTCAAATCGTGAAAGAATATGATGTTACAAAATACAGTCTAATATTTGGAATCTCGAACAATGTACAAATAAAACTGCTTTCGTTATTGGTAAAAGAAAAAAAAAAGTATTCTTGATTTTAAAAATGTATTCATTCTGCATGAAATGCGTCCTTAAATGATGTTAATTCATACTTATGTATATGAATAGCATAATAGAGAAAAATGAAATAATTTTCCGATGTTATATTACTTCAAAATGACCTTAAGTTTTTGAGCTTGAATTTGCAAACAATTGATTATAAGACCGTCTTCTATTTGCGTTATATAACTGCTTTAATTCGTGAAAGTAGACCAATGTAAATTTGCAAAAGTATCCAAGCTAAATGTATTCTACAAAATACAAAGTTACAAAAGAAGCTGCAATTTTATGCAAGACTAATATATTAGAGCGGTAAGTTTTACTAGAAATATATGAGATATTTTTTTAAAATCTAAGCCATTTTTGTGTTGACCACCGCATAGTTAAAAAGGTTTAGTCATCTAGTTCTTCCTCTCCGTGTGGTCATTATGTACCAATAATACGAATACATTGTATATTGCTTAAACGTGAAGGAAATTGATGAGAAACTATGCCTAAAACAGTAAACGGTGGAAAATGAACAAGATGCTCTACTAATGAAATATAGTACTTGAATAAAATTTATAAAGGATTTTTGCCTCTCCCACTCTGAGGTAGAGAATTTTATATGATGTCAGTCTCAGTCTCAGCTCTGAGGTAGAGAATTTTATATGATGTAACTAATAGCCCGTCTGGCTGACTGTCGGAAGATCCAGATATATGAATACTGGCGAGGGCATGATGATTTTTCGTGTTCCCTGCTTCGAAAAGCTTAATATGGAGGGGAAGCATAATGTAAGGAATACTTGATTCTCCTGTGCATGTTCTTGAGACGTAAATGGCAACACATCCGGCTGGTAATCAGACGATTCGGATTTCGGACCCACGGAAGGGCAGAGTTGAATTTAGTATTTCCTGCTTGGAAAAGCTTAGTAGATTCTACAAAAGGTGATGAAACAGTGTTAAAAAATAAGCCCATGAAGATATAGATTTCTTGACCTGCTTAAGAAATTTCATTAATATACTATCAACTTTCCGGACACCTACACTGCATTTTACCCGAAAAGATGTTTAAGAGTGTCGCAACGTTTTTGTTGATGGCTGAAGATGCCAGCTTCCTAAGTATGAATTATTTTACAACTGGTTAGCAAAGTGATGTGAATCATTTTGGTTAACCAGACAAATTGCTTCGTTTTCTTATACTTGCCTTTAGTGTGAATAAAATCGTCCTTTTGAAAAGCAATAAATCAAGCCGTCATACTGAATACATACTGGCATGCCCCCCCCCGAATTGATACTATTATTAGTGTTCGTGGCTGCTGTATTGTCCGTTGGGTTCAGGTCCAAGCCTCGAAGAAGACATGGATGTTTGTACATGTATAGAGTCTGTGCAGGGTAAGATCACTGTAAATACACGGTGAGCCGAAAATCCAATCGAGTGATTTGGTGGTAAAGGAAGAGGGGTGGGAGACCTTTGGACCCCTTCTGCGGGGTACGTTTCATCACAGTTTTAGAATAAAGTCATACTGTTATCTATGTAGTGCCTTTCCAACGAAAGACGCAATCTTGTTTTCCTTGCCATTCAATAAATTTCGTGGACTTGTTCTGATTATGTTAAACAAGTAAAGCATATTGTCAAAATTTTGATACAGCTAATAATAAACTTTACCAGCTCTGAGGTAGAGAATGGCTCTGCTTTTGTTGTCTCTGTAGGAGAGAAAGCCTATCACATTAGCCTGGAGAAACCGTCGCACGACTTCAGATGAATTTGGCCTCTCAAAAAAATTTCGATGTGAATCAACGAATTTCGTACCCCTATAGAAAAGTTCAGCAGCTTTCTTGACATCAAACTTTTTCGATCTCAGAAAGCAAAGAATATAGATATCTTCGCAGAAAGGTACTTCGAAGTCTTCTAAAAAATAAATGAATAATCTTAAACAAAAGAATATGCTCTTTAAGCAATGCATTAAATGATATAACATTTAAAAAATTAAAATTTTACTGAGAAGATTCAATTTTGGTAAAAATCAAAGAGATCAAATCAAAGCAACCAAAAATTGTGCAGAGAAAAGCAAATAGCTTTCATTTTTACTTCCTTGTACGAAGTAAAAAGGAAGTATTGTATTGCGCGAAAAGTTTCAGGCAGCGTATTTCAACGAAAATATCCATTTTGACCGCAATCGAATGCAATTTAACGATGTTTTTGCGTGACAACTGTGCATGAGGACAGAATAAAAGGCTCTTTTTCTCCAAAAAAATTATAAAACTGCTTTAAAATGAATTCTGAAGAGATTTTTTTTGTGGCGTCTGTACGTACATACGTATCTCGCATAACTCAAAAACGAGTAGGGCTCTGCTCTTATATGCGCCCTAATATCACCAAATGTGGCTATATGTGTTCTGCGCTGGTTTTGGCGCGATTGCGTGTTGTATGGCAACCCTGTTGACGTTGAAAGATCTTTTGCTGGAGTAGTTTAATTGCTCGTTGGTTCGTGTTCTGCGTGTTTTGAAATGGCCAATGTTGCAATGAGAGACGTGGTGGCAAGATTTCAGTCGCGTATTTTAGATTGTGTGCAAAGGAAATTTAGTATTAAAAGGTAGGGTTGTTGGAGTTGTTAACGAGTCTGCTCTGTATAATGCTCTGTGTCTGAGAAGATAGGGGGGGAAGATAAAGTGGTGGAAGTTGATGAATCGAAGTTCGGCAAAAGGAAATATCATCGTGGCCATCCTGTTGAGGGGCAGTGGATATTTGAAGGTGTGGAAAGAGGGTCTGGGAGATTATTTTTAGTGGCTATGCATGATAGAAGTAAGGAAACGCTGTTGCAGTGTATTAAAGAGTGGATTGAGCCCGGTACAACTATTTTTTCGGATGAATGGAAATCTGACAAGGATTTAGGAAAAGAAGGTTTTGAATATTTATTTGTGAACCATAGTAAGAATTTTCTGGATAGTGTGTCTGGCTGTCATATAAATAGGATAGTGATTACGTGACCGCATGTTAAAGGCGGTATGAAATTGGTATTTCTGCTGTTCGAAAAAGCATTCATTCATGATAAGTGCATTTTATTTTATTCCTGTACTTATTTTGTAGAATGTTATGTTCGTTGTTTTTTTAGTATGAATTTCTGTCGTTATTGTTTTTTTTTAATTGTTTGAAATTTATTTTAGTTATTTTAGTTTATTTGTTGATTAGTGCGTAGTGCCTAGATTGTGCAATTCGTAGATGTTTTTTAAAGTTGAAAGAGTACATGGTATTCTTTGAAATTTATTGTTGTTATGTTAATTTATTAAAGCGAGGGGTGCGTAGTTCGTAGATTCGTTCGTTGCCTAGATCGTGCCATTCGTAGATATTTTTTTAAGTTAAAACATATCGCTGTGTGCATGGCGACAAATATTTTTGATTAGAAACTTTACGTTTTCGCTATCTAAATTTTTTGTTTCGGATTTTTAGCTTAAATTGTGTGCTCAAAACGTGGTTTTTGCATGTACGAAAACCACGTTTTTGGAGAAATTTTAGGTTTAAAGTTCGAAATGTAGACAAAACATTTAGATGTTTGGCGAGAAATTTCGCGACCTGAGGGCGCATATAAGAGTAGTTCCACAAGTAACCGCAGAACATTGAAATTTTGTGTATAGGACTGCTATAACATAGATGTGCCCCTCGTATTTGGTTCAATCGCCGCAGCACGTTTTAATTATTTTATATTCCCTTGTGGTCAGTAATTATTCTTATCTTAAGTTTGAATGGCATTTTGTTAAAAATGATTGAATTATGTTGTTCTTATCTTCCGGTTAAGGATCAATATGTTTTTTGCTCGAACTAAATTTTCATATTCTACAAGTTTTATAGTAGATGATTATCTTCAAATACCTTAATCGGTAGAGTTTGGGGTAGATTGAAATCTTCTGTTAATTTTAATAGCCATAATAGTTCTTGCGTAGCTTGCGATAGTGCAACATATTCAGCTTCTGCTGAGGATAAAGAAACACAAGTTTGTTTTCTTGAAAACCATGAAATACAGTTCCTTCCTAATAAAATAACACTTCCTGATGTAGATTTTCTATCTTCAATATCTTGTCCCCAATCAGCATCTGAATAAACTGTAATATTAGGTTCTTCACTCGACGAAATTTGTAAGGATAGATTCTTTGTCGTATTTTAAGTATCTAATGATTCTTTTAACTGCATTCCAGTCCTTTTGACGTGGATTATTACACCTTCTGCTGAGTATGTGAGTTGAAGCTGTTATATCTGGACTTGTGATAAACGATATATACAAGAGACTTCCAATAGCTTGGCGAAATTTATCATTTGAAGTTAGGAGATTTTCTTCCTTGTTTAGGTTATAATAGTTTCGTTTCCATTGGTGTGCTAGCGGTTTCGCTTCTTCAAGTTGAAATTGCTTGACAAGTTGATTTATTTTATTTTTCTGTGATAAGAGATAACTTCCATCTTCCTTGCGATTTATTTCCATGCCTAAGAAATATTGCCAAAAATGTTCATTTTTATCGGATTTCCACTTATTTTACGAAAAAATACGAATCCGAATGACGAAAAACTCGATGATGGATATTTATCTCATTTTACGGATAGGATACTTTATGGTATATTTCATTCGTCAATTTTACGGATATTATACGAAGTCTAAAAAGATTGAAAATGAAGTTTATTAATTCAAAATATTTAGTGTATTTCTGGCATTTCACTTTGTTTTCCTTGTCCACGAACATGAAAAAAGGGGCATTCATATTCATAATGAGGCTAAAATTTTCCAATGAATTTTAACATGTGAGCTAAATTTTTATGTAGCATTTTTGCAAACAAATATATATTTTCTTGAATTTAAAGATCTTCAAAATAACTTATTTATTTATTTATTTTCTTATATGAAACTTGTCATTCTTATTCATATCAACACTTACATTAACGTTACACAATTTAATTTCTTTTATGAAAATCTCTAATACCTATTTAACTGGAATAAGCTGTATATTAAGTTTGTGTACTTACTTGAATTTGGTACAATACTTCGCCTTATTTTATTTAGCAAGCGTTGGGCAATTAAATTGGAACAAGACTAGCAAATCTTTCATGTCGAGGAATAGAAATAATAAATAGCAAAATAAGATGCTCGAAAATGTTTAACTTCTTGAACAATAAGTTTAATGTAGACCAAAGGATCATTAGTTATAATCAAAGATATAATAATTTTTATTTAATAATAATAATATAACTCTACGAATTGCAAGCTGAATCCTGATATTTACATATATTTCAGTTCCTTTAATCTTTGTTATAAAAATCATATGAGGCTAACTTTTAAAATTTTGTTTAATGTACGGAAAAAATGATATAGCGATTTTAATAATTTTTATATGAGGAAAAAATTAATAAATAATGTAAATAATAATTTTATATTTTTTCCTGAAACAGTTAAGGCATTCTTAATATGGAGATCTACAGAATAAGTACAAGGGTCCAGTTAAATGAACTCAAAATTTGCATATTTAATTTACGCTAACTTATAAAAATTAAACCGGATTACGATTTTACACTGAGCATGCTCATACACAGACATTTCTATTTTTCGTAGAAAAATTTAATTATTACTTTAATACAGAGATGTTGTGAATATAAATTTATATAATGCAAAAATAAGTTTATTTCACATGATAACTTAGAGGCTTCCTTAATATATTTAATTACAAAGAAAAAAAAAAGCATTGCAATTCTTGTTCACTGACCAATGGCAAAGCAGACATTTTCTAATTCCGGTTCTGGCGGGATATTTGTGAAGTCAGAAGTCAGCAATGGCGGTCGAAAAATGAAAGTCGCAAAGAATACTGGTGAGTGGACTTGCGTTTGTGACTGAATCGATCGATGTTACTAATTATTTGAAGAAAGTAAGTGAACATTTTATATTTACAGTGTTTAATAGTCGTACTTTCTTCATCTATGTAAAATTTTATAAATAACGTCTTGAAGGACATGTGATTTTCCATGTGTTGATCTTTTGTGCACGTGCCTAATGATTCATTTTCAGCATTTGGTACTGTTTAATGACATAGAATACCAAATCAATAAATTAAATGAAAAAAATTTTGCACTAGGCTGTTTCTTACTGTTTGTGTCACTTCTGTTTGTATATGTCTCACCTTTTTATAGTTATATTATTTTTACTCAAACGTTTTAATATTTATTAGTGGCCATCTCGCGGGGCGGAGGTTGCCAGATCATGAAAGGCCCCAGTTTAAAGCGCTTCAGATTTCTGCAGTGAGAGGCGGCAGTAATGGACTTTTCATAATAGGACATATTAATGGAGTTCCCTGCAATATGACGATAGATACAGGAGCCAACGTTACCATCATCCGAAAAGATTTGGCTCAACAACTGGAAAGCAAACTTATCTGGACGCCGCCCTGCGTTACCCTACAGACTGTGTCCGGTGAGAAGATCAACATCGATGGAAAAGTAAATGTTAACATCACGTTTGGAAGTGCCGCTTACCATCACACGGCATATGTAGCAGAGATCACTGATTCTTGCAACTCGGATTGGACTTTTCTAAGGAAATACAATTTTTCCTTGGATTTTAAAAAAACGATTGCATTCTACATCTGAGGACATAGCGTTATTTCTCGTTAATGATGAAGAAGTTAAATCTGTCCATAAAATCATAGCACAAGACTATATTACAATACCGGCAAGAACAGAAATTTTACTTCCTGGATCCATAGCCGAAAATAGAAAATTTCCGCTACGGCATCATAGAATATCCCAATAACTGTAATATCCCAAAAGGAGTATTAGTAGCCTCAACACTCGTCGACCTATCCAGAACGGTTATCCCGGTGAGAGTCGCCAATGTAACTGAAAAGTCGAGAGTTTATTAAGAAAGGTGAAGTGATTGC